TCATCTATATTGAAGTGCTTCGGCAGGTGATAGTTACAACTTACACCTTAACATTTGTAGTTGATCGGGAAAAATGCGTCTCCTCGAAATTTGAGTTTGTCCACTGGAATTATGGTTCGGTTGAATACTGATTCTGGCATGCTTGGAGTAAAGTTACTGTGATTATGTCTTTATATCAAACACAATTTTGGGGTACCTTTTTCTTATATTTTATGTTTCTTGCAAAGACTTCACAAAGAAAAGTGTTTCTCATTCCCATGTTTTCAATTGGAGTTGGCTTTGAGAGTTCTACTAATACAGTGAGTAAATGAGAATCTTTATTTCATCCAATTGATCACTTGTGTGAAGATCTTACTGGGAAATTTCAATTATATGAATTGATCTTCTTTTTTCTTTTCTTTAGTTTTGTTTTATTTTATTTTTTAAGAGCAGCAAATCATCCTGTGTGTGGCATAATATTTGATAGAAACCTTTATGGACCGTCTTGTTTCGCATAGAGTTCATTAATTTTTTGAAAAATGTTACAAGTACATAATAAATGTATATAGAGGTGCACATAACACTCACATGGGAGGTTCACTTGATTTTTTATTTTTCGTAGGACTTACTTAATGTGAGCGTTATGTACACCTCTATGTACAGTGTTATGTATCTATAACATTTCTCTTTCTTTTAGATTTGCGTCTTTGAAAAGCATCAACAATGTCTCTTCAAATAATTTTGGATGCCCCATAAAAAGGCTACAGTACACAAATTCTTATAATATCTTTTCCAACTTTCACTTATGCTAGGTGAGTTTTGGATTACAATTTTATGCAACAAAAGATTTATATTTTCACACATGTCAATTAGTTATCTCATAATCTTTCTCTGTAATCAAAGGATAAAAGTAGGTACTCAAGTGGCCTTTTTGGGTTGATCATGAGATGAATATATATAAAAAATAAAAATAAAAATGACATCCAGCCACCGCTGGTGGCGGCCTGATCGGCCGATACCGCAGGTGGGCACGACGAGCCCGGGTTGCACGGAGATTGGGCCCGGGACAATCCCCCTGCCCGCCGCGTGGCCGATTCCTGAACCGATTACAGAACGTTTAGTCGTTTATGTATAACATAAGAATGGAAATGTTACAAAGTATCTATTATATATTGATTATAAACGCGAGTTAAACAAATTGTTTGAGAATTCATTTTTCTATTATCCAGTTAACAAACAACATATACACTGTAATTACACTGTTTTGTTATTTACTTTTTTTGGTCGGGCATATGTAATTTGAGTCGAAAGATTCAAAATCAGAGTTGTCTTAAATTTGAATGCATAAACTAAAAATAAGCATACTATGATATCATAATACTAAGATGAATACCAAAGACAAAATCATTTTCTATCTATATACTATACACAAACGGCATATGAACAAAGAGCAGCAAACCGAAACTGAATACTTCACCTTCCTATTCATCGTTGGTCTTTCTTTGTTATTCACCTTAGAGCATCTCCAACCGGCCCCTTCATACAAGCAGGAAACTGGTGGGTTGGAGGAAAACCATCTCCAATCAACCCTCTTGTTGTGGCAGAAACGGTAGCGGGGCTTTTGTGAACGGTTTGGCAACCGTTCCACTGTTCACACGTTATACATTTTTTTCTTTTCGTTTAAAAATATAATTGGGTTGTATTTTGGGCCTTAATGATGTATTGTGGTTGGGCTTTTTATTAACTACAATTGGACTAATTGAATTAATTAGTTTTATGAGTTGGATTAAAATATTTTTATAAATGTTTAAACTTAATTATTGTAATTAATATAGTAGAATTTTAAGTAGTGTAATGAAAAATGAATACTTTTATTAATTAATATGATAGTATATTAGTTAGTACTTAAATTCACTTAAATAAATATTTCAAACAAACAAGTTAAAATTACAAAATAAGGATAAACATTCAACTCACTTAAAATTAACGGTACAAACACTAAAATTAAAAACACAACATAAAGATAAACTAAAAAACTCATCTTAAAGCTCACACATACTACAACAACAATAATAATACGGAACATAAAAAAAAGGATTATAAAACAGACGATTTCATAGACTTAATTGTCACCATAATAATCATTCAAATTTCCTCCATCATGCCCGATGTTGTCGAGAAATCCAAATTGACCCGTGCTAGATGATGGTTGTGCTGCTTGAGATTGTTGTTGCTCAATTTCTCTTTCTTGTAAAATTTGCATTTGCTTTTGTTCCCAATGTCGACGTATCATGGGATTCATAAGGGAATTCAAATCTATCATCAAAATTCTATCTTGATCCCTCTTTTTCTGCAAATCAATTTGTTGTTTCTGCAATTGAAGTTGGACATTTGACGTTCTTCGGCTTTCTGCAACAAATCAACAATAGTATCACTTTTAACATTTAGAGTTCGAAAATATTGGCAAAATTGGTCTTCATTTTTCTTCTTCAATTTTGCTTTCTTCGCTCCAATTGGACGTTGAGAGGATGTTCCACCAACACCATCGTCACTTTGTTGAGGACTAAAAGATGACAATCCCGGAGACTCTGGTGTTGGTTGTCCATCATATGGAACGTCGGACTCGGAAGAGTCATTGTGTGTATCGAAATCCCGACAACGAGATAGTGGTTGGGACACATTATCATCAAATTTCCAAACTCTTTGAATAGTCGGAACACATGTTGAAACTTGAAGCCATCTTTATATTTTGGGTCTTGTTCAAACAATCGTTCGGCTTGCTCAATC